CACCCCGATCTACTGTTGGCCATGACCACGGCGACCGTCAGCAGAACTTGGTATCGCGCAGCGCTTCCCCTGATCCAGTACAAGCCCTTTTTGTCAACAGCTGGCGCACGGCCAGGACAGCAATGTTGCTTGACATACCGGCAATGGTGCAATCCTTCGCCGTACCCCAACGGTATCTCGCAACGGAGGAGATCATCATCCACATCGAACATCGCCGCCACATCGTGGTGCAGAAGATTCTCAACCCCCTTGGTCCCTTTGGATACGCTGATGCAGCAGGTAGGGACGACGAGGTCCACTGGGCCCACTCCGACTACTTCCCCTGAGACCCGAAAGTAGCCGTCAGCTAGGAGAAGGAGCCTCAAGCTAGGAGAATGGCACAGCCTCCCAACACGTGTGGCACAGCCACTCAATAGGTGTACGCGCCAGCAGCGCGAGGCAGTTCGCTTGCTGGGAGAAAACTTCGCCGGAACCAGCAATAATGCCTCTAAGGGTCTTAAGCCCTACTGACTGTCGGATGCTAATTCTTGCGGTTAAATTCCGGTCCCTCAGGTCATCGGTGGCAGACCTCGGATCTCGGAGTTGCTCGAGTGCCCTCGGCTGTTGCTCTCTGTCAGAATGAATGTGGTGCTCGCACACTGACTGCTAGCCACAAAAACCGCAGCCGTCAGAAGCTATCGCTCACCACTGTTGGCATCACAGCCTTTTTGGGCTATCCAGGTCCAGCTTCTAACGTCACAACAGCTTGAATCATGTTCAGCATGTGCAAAGAAGTTCCTGGACAGTCTTGGTAATTTAGGCAGAGAGCACAGCTCCACTCCTGGCCACGTGTCACAGACTCTGGCCGAGTAGCACCATGGCTGCGACCATGGCATCCCCTCCCAGCTTGGGGCCATTCCTGGTGCTCAGCGACAGCACCTTGCAGCACATGCTACGGGGACATGCGTATGGGGTCTTTCCCCTGCTCACAGGGCAGGTCTTGAGCTGCCCGGGCACCGCCCTCAACATCTCGGCGAACAGCGTTCCCTCCATTCTGGAACTTCTCCACTGGCAATTTGGGCTCTTCGGACCACTCCGTTTCAGCGCAGCGGTCCAGAGTCAGGCGGTGGCCTCCATTTTGGAGGACCACCTAGATGGGCAAATCAATGTACGCTTCATTCCGTTGTCTCGAAGCTTACTCCCTGAGAAACAGCTCCATTATGATTACCTGATTGACGGCAGGGTCCAGTACGGCTTTGCGGACAAAAACCTGACCTACAGGAAATCATGGATTTGGCACAACTGCCCGGGGTGGACCAACTATACAACACCAAGAACGGCAGCTCAGGCATTGTCAAAATGCCGCACTGTTCGAGAACTCTCGGAGGTAGCCGCGCAGTATGGGCACGGGCCCTGGGGCATGCGCTTCCAGCATCTCCCGGAGCTGGCAACAGCTCCTGTCCCGAGGATTCTTTTCCAAACCTACGTGCACGACGAAAAGCCCGAGCCTGCGCAATTAGCCGCCAAGATGTTCGCGGGCTTTACCCGCGAATTCTGTGAGGACGGAGTCCTCCGCGCCACCCTGGTGAAACTTGCGGGGAAATATGGCTCCAATTTGCTGGACCGTCTCAGTCAGCCAGCTCATCGGGCTGACGTTTTCCGCTATGTCTACCGCTACCAGCGAGGAGGACTGTATGTGGTCTTGAAATGCGGCTTTGTGGTACCGTGGGAGCAGGTGCTGCAAGTCATGGCAGCAGATTGGAGCACAGCTCACTCGCAAAGGGCAGGTGAAGTGGGTCACAGACCCTCCCCACCTAGCCAACTCCCGCAGGAGTTCATGGTCATGGCCATAGGAGTCAAGGCAGACCATATCTTCCAGGGCATCATCTATGGCAAACCACGCCACCCTCTTATGAGGGAAGCCATACAACATGCCTTCAGCCGTCAAGTTCTGACGGCAAAGGCCAATTTGGATTACATGATCTTCTGTTAGTTTCTCTGGCAGATCTTGGGTCGGGACCTCGGCCATGACCCTCAACCAGGCTGGAACATCTCCGGCAAGTTCGGCCCTGTCTACCTGCTGCAGGAGTGCTGGGACAGACGCCTGAAGAACAAAACTTACGACAACGATGGCCATTTCTTCGTGTCGGCAAACCGCACCACGGTCGCCTTCACCAGATGCTGGAAGTGGCAGAAGGGCTTCCAGGGCGATCCCACCACAAAGGAGCGAACGGACCGGATGCTGCAGAGTCAGGTTCCAGAGGTGTCTCTGGAAATCCAGGTGAACACTCGGCCCATAGAGCACAGCTCCACTCAGCCGCCTAGGTCACAGACCACGGCTAAAGCCTCCGCGGCCCCTCCTCCTCCCATCCAGGAGGAGATCGAGCTCTAAGCATCCAAAACAACTCCTTTGCGGAGATCATGGCCACTGTCCGTGACACCCACTACTACAATCAGGATCTCACGGAGCAAGATGTGCTGGAGCTTATCCCCCGGGGACTAGGCCAGATGGAGGTCTTTGGAGCCATGTGGTTATGTTGCCTCCACTGTCGAAAGCATAACCGCAACAGTTCAGCACCGGCCATGGCATCACGCAGAAGCACGACTCGGTGCCACAGCCCTCAGGATCAGGGGCCCAGGCGGCTGCCTCCTCGGCGCCCTGCCCTCCTCCACCTCCAAGCCTGCGCAGCCACAGGAGATCCCCTTCCACCCAGCAAAACCCGCACCAAAAAGGTGGACCAAGCGACTGGCTTTGCACCACAGCGGCGGAGAAAGCGGCTTTTCAGGCGAACCAGGCGAAGGCATAGGCTGCCAGCTCCTCCCTCCCGGTTAAAGGATGCTCCCCCTTTGCGCGAGCAGGCAGCACCGGCTTCCTCCACCCAGCGTGATCCCACACCTCCCCCCTCCTCCCGCCCCCCGTCAGCGTACGAACCCCCGGCAAAGAATGCCCCGCCTGTGGGTTATGTTCCACAACCGGCGCCGTCCAAGGTTGTGAAGTATACCAGACTGGAGCTTGCCCAAATGCTGAGCTCCCCATCTTACAAGGACTGGATTCGAGCTCTTGCTTCTATCAACATCCTGGTAGCCCGGTTATTCTGGGAGGCCTCACCAACCAGGAGCAGCAAAATCTCTGGTTTACCAGAGTGGCAGCACTCAGCCAAGTGCCTCCACTCTTCTCAGCCATCAAACTAGTGAAGACTCAGTCTGGCCTCACTTGGGACATTGCCATGTCCGTGCGCAGAGTCCTCACCAGTGATGGACGGGTAACTATTGCCACAGGTTCCGGCGAAACCTATCAGGAGCTAGATGCTCCCACCAAGGTGCGTGGATTAATCCACGCATGCTTCAATAAGGTGTGGGACGAGCCTGAATTTCAACGCCACTTCCCCACGAGGATCGAGTTCAACCTGATTGCCACTTCCCTCATGACGGTCTATAATGAAGCAGCAAAATCCGCTGGACTCCCTGCGCGGATGTTCAGGCTCAAACCCATGAGAGACGCCTATTCCATCATGAAGATGCGGATCCAGCATGATAAGGGGATCGAGGAGGACAAGCGCATGGCTCGTTTGGCTGCGGCTGCTGCACCGAACAAGCGCCCACAGGTGAGGGAGGCTGATCCAGAGGGCAAGCGCCAACGCGATGCCCCTTCATCTTCATCCTCGAGCCAGTGGGCCAGGCCGGCACGCTCCTCAGAGGAAGACGACTGGGACTGGTGGCAACAGTGGTCCTGGCACGGATACAGTCAGTCCTCACAGCAATGGCCGTATGGTCACAATCAATGATCTTAGGGCAATGTCACAGACTCCCCAAATCCCGTATGGCACAGCCTCTGGGAATTCGAAACACTCTTCCGACACTTATGCAATCTCTTCGGAAGACGGAGTGCAGCGCGTTAGCCGATGCAAAATGCAGGCCATTGCATTTCACTAGTTCCGGCACAGCTCTACCTGCCAGCTACTCCTATTCCAGCTCTGCAGGTACCCAAGGATGATCCTTACGGCCTTCTGTCTTCAGCATGAGTAATCCGTGTGGGACGCCACAAGACGGATACTCCGGGCGCCAGCTTCGCAAGAAGTACGACCTATCTGCTGGGACGGGTGTACAGACGGACGCGTCTGCTCACAGCAGGGTGGCGGGCTACAGATGTACAAACCTAGATTAATGAGTAGATTGAGAAGAACACGAGCGATTGATGCTTGCAGATACAAGTCTCACGAGTGCACGGGACCAAAGGCGCCCGCAAAGCGCAGAGCACGCTCGCGCAGCATTCAATTGAAACAATAGTAGTATTAGTAGTATTAGTAGTATTAGTAGTATTAGTAGTATGAGTAATATTAGTAGTATTAGCAGTATTAAAAGTATTAGCAGTATTAGTAGTATTACTAGTTATTAGTGGTACTTAGTATTAATAGTATTAATAGTATTAATAGTATTAATAGTATTAATAGTATTAATAGTATTACTAGTATTAATAGTATTAATAGTATTAATAATATTAATAGTATAGTATTAATAGTACTAATAATATTAATAGTACTAATAATATTAATAGTATTAATAGTATTAATAGGATTAATAGTATTAATAGTATTAATAGTATTCATAGTATTCATGGTATTCATAGTACTAATAGTATTAATAGTATTAATAGTATTAATAGTATTAATAGTATTAATAGTATTAATAGTAGTAATAGTATCAATAGTATTAATAGTAAGCGCCACGAGTGGTTCAAACGCGGGGTAGTCGTCATGGATGGCTGTTTCTATGAACTCCACTGCTCATCTTAAAGCTGCCGCTGTTGATATTTTGCTGGAAGAGTTATATCCTGGAGGTCATTGTGCACACTACATACAAAATCTTTTGTGGGCCTTTTGGGCCGACGCAGACGCGCACACGGTGATCGAGGACATCGCGGAATTCTTCCCTCCTGATAGCTGTACGCGTGTGCAGGCTTTCTGCGCGCGCAATTATCCTTGGCTGCTATCTTGTTTTCTGGCTACATATAGCTCCAGCTGATGAGTATGTATCTGAATCAATTCTTCCATGGCTTCGCAACGACCCCTCTCAACACAGCCTCGGAGTATCTCTCCCACGCTTGGTTTGCTCCTATAGATGGTATGCATCCTGCACCTGATGATCCAAGTTTTCGAGGCTACTCGGCCCGGTCCCAAGTCCGGGAATGGGTATTTCAGCATGGCCTTAAAGGTGGCGCTCAGGCACCCATTGGCGCGAGGGTTGACTTCTTTCCCTCAGAGTTGTCTGGAGTCGCTTCGGCGATGAAGAATGAGGGGTTTCTGCCCAACAACAAGGCCAAGACTCACGCCAAGATTGCCAAACGCTCTTTCCGTAGAGCTCTTACCAGAGCGGCAAGAGATGGTTCTGCCTGGTATCGTGGAAGGTACATAAGTGTCAAACGCGAGTTTGTGCCTCTTCAACCCAAGCCAGCCGTCACCGAGAGCCGCGGCAAGCGATTGGACATGTTCACATGGAACTGCAGCGGTTTCAGCAGTGAGCTGAAGGCCGAATTACTGTTATGGCTCAAGTCACAGCATCACGTCAACGCATTCCTTCTTCAAGAGACTCACTGGAGTTTCACCAGTGAATGGAAACAGGATGGCTGGTACTTCTTTCACTCTGCTTCTCCTAAAGCGCGACAAGGTGGCGTTCTGACCGCCATTCGCGCGGCGGCCGTGCACGAAGACGGTCTCTCATGGAAGGAAGTCATCCCTGGAAGACTTATGCAGGTCCGTTGCCATTTTGGCACACAACAGACAGACGTACTGAATCTCTATCAACATGCATGGAGTCCCAAAACAGCTGAGCAAACTCAGGAGCTGGTCAGACACAGAGCTCAACTGTGGCGCAGCCTGGACGACCTGCTAGAATCTCTGCCTTTGCGCTCGACGCTCCTTCTGGGCGGTGATTTCAACACTGTGCTGGAGGCTCGTAGTGGCGTAGCTGGGCATGGCATTTATGCCGGGAATCAACTTGCTGTATACAAGAAAGATCGTGCTCACATTATGGATGTGCTACATAGGCATCGTCTCACCGTGCTCAACACATGGACAAGGAAGGCTTACACCTACAAACATCCTCAGGGCAACTCACAGATTGACTACATCGCCACTCGTACAGTACTTGCTGACTCCATGGCAAGACGCAGTGCGCCGATTGTCTCCCCCTTGGCTGGCTGGAGAACGTCAGGGCATGAGCTTGTTCATGCTTCAGTGCCTCTTCGATGGCGCCCTTGGGCTCAACATTCTCCGCCTAAACCTGCGGCTTGGCATAGTGTGTTACCTGCTTCTGTGGAACAGGCTGCTTCCCTTGAAGACCTGCAAGGCTGCTTGTTAAGAGATCATAATGTTGTTGCCCCTAAGCCTGCTCCCCCTGAACCCCTGAACATTGATGGCACCATCATTCGCTTCTGGGATTTGCGTAGGCAACTTGACTCTCTGCCGGCCCTTCCTGTGGTTGACGCGGTTCGTAGATTGCAGTGTTGCTTTGCACGCATGAAGATGCACATGGTGCTAGAGCGTCAACATCGTGAGCTCCGACGCGCTTCTCGTCAGCGCAAGCGCCAACGCACTCTTGACACATTGCAGCAGGCCGAGGAAGCGGCCAGCATGGGCAACTCGCGTAGACTGTATCAGCTTGTTAGGCAGCTTGCTCCCAAAACTGCCTTCAAAAGGATTCGATTCAGGGATGATTGCGGTGGTTTGGTGTCTAAGGAGCAAGAATGCCAGATGATGGTACATCATGCAAACACGCTGTTCCAGGGATCTGTAGATTTCTGCATTCCTGACCTTGACCCATTGCCTGCACATTACTTCACGGCGGACGCGTGGAGGGATGCTCTTCTCTCTCTGAAGTCGCATATAAGGCTGTGCCCGGATTCTCGGCGTCAGTGGTAGGATGGAAGCAACAAGCAACTACTGTCGCTACTCTGCTCGAGCGTTTTTCTCAAGATGCGCTTTGCGGGACCTCGGGTTCCTCAGGTATGGAGTCGCGTGCAGCTGGCCTGGTTGGCCAAGCCAAATAAGACCCCGTCGTGTCCGGGGAATCTACGAACCATTGGATTGATGTCCCCTGACTCCAAAGCCTTTCTTATCATACTGAAGAGGCAGGCTGAGCCCTACGTTCAGGCAGGTCTTAAGTGCATCCCTCAATATGCATATCGCGCTGGCGCCTCCACGGCGGATGCTATTCTCCGTGGTAGCTCTCACTGCAGACGCATTCGCCAGGTTCTTGAACAAACGGCGGCGGATCACACTCGCGCATTTTGCGTCAGGTTCAGGCTCGGTTGGTAGGTGGTTTAATGTGTGGGTTGGACCTTGCTCAGGCCTTTGATAGGTTAGAGTATTCGGAGATGTATCATGCACTCTGCGACACCGGTATGCCGATTTCTTTGGCCAAGACCATTGTTACGGCCCATTCACAGACTGTTCTGCACATACAGCATGGCTCCTTTAGCGGTACCTCAACCATGTCCCGTGGATTAAGACAGGGATGTCCCATTGCCCCGATGATATACACGGCTTGGGTCATTCGGCTTTGTCGTCAGCTTGACCTTCGAATCCGCCTAAATTGGTCAGCCAAGCACATGAGCATCTATGCCGATGACAAGCACTGCTATTGGGAGATCAACAGCCCCACCGCACTGTACCAGGCCATCGCGCAACTGCGCAAGATCCTGGACGTCCTTCGGGCGTGTGCCATGAAGGTCAGCATTGCAAAATGTGTTGCAGTCTTAGCCTTAAGGGGCACCTGGGTCAAACAGGCACTCCAGAAGGTTATCAAGTACTGGAATGGTCAACGATGTTTGGTTGTGCCAGGCACTCAGGAGACAGGTGACGATTATATCCCATTGGCAGATCAGCTACCGTACCTGGGGGTCCAGCTCTCCTATGGTGCGTTCGAGCTGCACACTGTACAGGCACGCGTGTCGAAGGCTGATGCGAACTTCGCATCGCTTCGTCAGGTACTCAGAACGCATGGTCCACTCAGCTTGCGTCAGCGGCAGCGGGTGTACAATGCCTGTGTATTGCCTTCCCTCTTGTATGGCTTGGTTTCCACCGGCATCACCGCCCAGGTTCTCCAGAAAGTCACTTCGGTTCAGGCCCAGCACATGCGCAAACTCCATCGTGTACACGAGCATGGTGTTACCAACGCAGATGTTCTTGAGCGGGCTGGTTTATCACCACGTCACATGCTGCTTACCCGTGCCTGGAGACAGATGCAGCTGCTGCAACAGGACTCTGGTCGCCACGACCTCCTCAAGGCGGTGGAGCTTCAGCAAGCGATTGCCATTCACTCAGAGGTCGAACAGCTTGCGCTCTTGGATACGCCGAGCCTGCTTACCCCGGTCAATCCACAACAGATTCGTCCCCATCCGTGTCCAGTTTGTGGCGTCAGCTTCGATGGTACGCACAGTCTTCACATGCACATTCAGGCTAAACATCCGGACCTGAACATTGCGGCCCGCATTTCCTTCAATCGAGCCGAGCACTCATTGTTTGGTCTGCCATATTGCAGGTTCTGCCGTGTTCGATGTCATGACTGGCATGCTTTGGAAAAGCATGCCACACAGGGGATGTGCATTAGGCTTAAGCAAGGCTTCGCCGAGAAGAAATCTTTGCAGGAAATTATGTCTGAGGTCCAGCAAGAAGAAGCCCGCGATCCACCTCGTCCTCCTGCTGATCACATCGCGCACACAGAGGCAGCGGCCTTTACTCCACACGAGATGTTCACAGTCCCCATTCGGAGCATTGCGCAACATGCAGACTCGGTGCGCAAACTTGGTGATGTCTGTGTACTGTGTGGTCAACGGCTCCTACAAGCATCCCGAGTCAAAACGCACTGGCAAAAGCAGCACCCTAAGGCCTGGGCTTTGGTCCAGCGTGACGCCGCATCTACGGCGCGAAGCTTGGTGGTCCTGTTCCACTCCCCGTGCAACTTTTGCGGGAGCATCACCAAACAACCTCGACAACATGCTGACAAATGCTCCGCCTTCTTTCAGGTTGCTGCGGTACGTCATCTACTTCGTCTTGGCTGCTTGGATCTGTCCCTCGCTGGTGGGAAGGAGCCGGCACTTAAACCGCATGAAACTACACCTGCATATCAAACCTTTTCTCTTGCAAGCACGCCAATTGGTAGGGCGTTCGCGAACAACATTGCTCAGCCTCGGCCTACGCTTCCAGCAACTACTGCTATGACTGTGCGCTCGGACTGCACCGCAGCGTCTTCGCATGGCCATGTGGGGGGCAAGGTGCCTGATATGTTCCGAATGCCACAGGTACTCCACAGACCTACATTGCCTGCGAGCGCTCCACTACCGTGGACTGGACGCCTGATGCTCAGGAATCCTCACACACTTTGTTACATGAACGCCACGCTGATTGCCATGATGCATGGATTAGTGGTGCAATCCCATCCCTGGGGTGGGCTGCAGTTTCTACAACCTGTCTGTCAACAAGCAGCTGATGAGTCGCGGCCTCTTCTCCTCAGCAGTCTGCCTCGCTTTGCTCGACTCTGTCGTCGATGGGGTTTTCAAGATCGACAGGAGGATGCCTCCGAGTTCATGCTCCATGTACTTCTTCCTGCAGGCCAGTTCAACACCATTTGGGATTGTCGAAAGATTACCCCAGATGGCCCTAGAATTGTTGATCAGGGTGAACTGCCCATCGCCATACCGCTGCTGGACATTGCCACGGACCTACAAACTCTCATCATTTTTTGGTTCTCCAGCGCAGAGTTTGCTGCCATTGCATACACGGATGGACTTGTGGCCCTTCAGCTCTTGCGTTTCAGACGAGGTACGAAGCTTCGCATCCCGGTAAGATTCGGCGACACAGTCCAACTCCCAGAATATGTCGAGGGCACTAACACTGTCTGGCGTACTTTTCGCATTGTCTCCTTTGTGGTTCATGAAGGTCCCAGCCAGCATCACGGCCACTACCGCACCATGCTCAAGGTCGGCACCTCATGGGTTTATCAAGACGACGGTCAGGTTGCTGTGCCTTGTGGCATCGTTGAGCATCATTACAGCAATGCGTATCTCTTTTGGGTCGCGAGGGCTCAACTCTAAACCTGCTGTTCCACTGATTTGGGTCCGTGTACAGCCATGACTCTTACTGATATGGAAACCGAGCAGGAGGAGCTGAAATTTTTCAACATGTATTGGCCTAGTGGCATGATTGAGAGCGGGAAGGATGGGACTGCAGACACGCCGATCGAGCAGGAACCGGCCTCCAAATGGCCCAAGACTGCCGATAAAGGAGACAAAGGTGATGGACGGTCCAGAGACACACGTGGTAAGGGCAGGTCGCAGCAGTATGGGGGCAAACGCCAGTATGAGCAGCGATTCCAGCAATCCCACTCCTCCAAATGGGGCGATTGGCAACAGTCGTATGATAAGGAAATGCTGACCAACATCCAGCGGCTCCTCTTGCGACATGAAGACATGATGAGCCTCATCCGGGCTGAGTATGGGTTCGTGTTGTTCTTCCGCATTGATGTGCCGTGTTCGGTGGCTAAGCCGTTGTTCATGGCGCAAAAGGAATGGAGGGACGCCAAGGCCAACGCTCCGGACTCCTTGACCAAGCCGATGAGAACCACTTTGATGGCTTGCTTGATTAAGGAGCTCACTCAGCGCATCATGCGCTTCAAGGAGCCGGCTCAAGAGGCCAATCAGAGCAACCTTGCCAAGCTTGGGTGGATCAAGCCAGTGCCGGGTGAGGACCCTACATGGTCTTACTTGAAGTGGGATCCTGTGAAGAAGGCACAAGTGGTCGACACTTCGCGTGATGGCTTGCCCTATGCCAAAGTCCTGGCTACTCTTGCTGCCATCGACGCGCTGATCTCCATCCCGGACACGCTCCAGCGCTTTCATCCGACGAGGCCGTTGACTGAGGAAATGTCGGGTGCTGTGTTGCCTTTCTGTCTTCAGACCGGTATGCGCACCAGTGAAGCAGACCGCCTCAACAACTACCTACGCGAGCTCTCCAATAATGCCTGTACGCAGCTGATTGCCGTCAACATGCGCCCCGAGAAAGCGCAACGCAGCGCACTGGCCCAGTACATTGCTAAGCAGCTTGGATGAGACGGTTGCCGCGAAGCAAGATGACGGGATCACCATTGCGGCGCACGAGGTGGACTGCTCCAGCTGCTGCTACGTGTGGTTGATGTGTGCTCAGTGATGGCTTGTCCCTTCATTCAATGAGGATGCGCATTCTGCAGTCCTTCAAGTGGGTTGCGAAGGCATTGCTTGGTTGCGCCGTTCGGCTTGCAATTGCAATTGACGCTGGGTCTGAGCTTACCAGTGCCGCGCAAATTGCTTTGATTTTGCACTTCGCTTCATTGCTCATGCACTGGCGGGCCCAACAGTGGCCATGCCTTTATCATTTCTTGATGTGGCAAGTGTACCAGTGGTAGTCTAAAGTCCCTTGCAGCAGCTATGTCAGCCCACGCTTGAACACATCGCCTGTACTTGCCTCTTTAGTGCTTCAGGTACCATTATGCCGCAGGTGGGACAGCGCTCATGTGCGCTCGTTTGCGCCATTCCGTTGTGTCTACTGGCCTACTGCCTTTGCAGTTGTGCTTGCCTGCATTGGTTTACGTGGCTACAACTGCAGCCGTCCACCACCCATCTCTATAGGATCTGTGCTCGAGACTGTGAGGCCTCAGGAGGGTGACTCCGATGTGTTCGACATGCGGCGATATCTTGCTGCAGACTTCATCTCCATTCATGGTGTGCATCCTTATTGCATGCGGCCTGAGCGGTTCTATCAGCTGCACGGCTTTTGCCAGGCTGCTGCCAGGGAGATGGGCATGTATCCGGAGCAAGGTGAAAGCATCAATGAACAACCCCCATTGCCATATGAGCCTGCCCCGACTCCTTGCGTCGACTTTGTGCCAGGCAAATACCGCGTCAGCACGCGTTTCATGCCTGAGGTTGAGCCTGTAGGTGTGACGGAACAATTCGCCCGAGCCCTACTTCTGCAGCCGCATGTTACCTGGACTCAATTACAAGATCTGTTTGACAAGCTTCCCATTGATATGCCCAGCAGGGCGTGTCAGCATCACGCGATGGACAGTTCTCAGCATTCAGGCGGCATGTTCACCTTGGGTGGCTTTTCGCATGCGTCCTTTCACGGTCTACGGCATCACACCCGTGGGCACCCGTGGACTGCAGTCTTGTTGGCTAGCATTGTGCGCTCTATTCACTCTGCTCATCGCTTTACCACAATCAGCATGATCAGCAACATCCAGTCGCTGATGCACGCCGACTCGCACAACGATGGAGCCTCCTGTAACCTACTGCTTCCTTTCTCGGATTACTCTGGAGGTGAGCTGTGGGTAGAACACCACCAAGGTCAGGTGCGACTTGAGCCTTCAGGTCCAGTGGGCATTGTGCATGCCACTAATGTGCCTCTCCTTTTTGAGCCGCGGCGTAAACACGCCACTATGCCGTGGGCATTTCGAACGTGATGCTGCATGGTAGCAGATCACGTTCGAAATGCCGAACGCATCCCTCATGATGACATGCAAGTTTTGGGACGCCGATGCTGCATGGTAGCATATCACGTTCGAAATGCCGAACGCATCCCTCATGATGACATGCAAGTTTTGCTTCAGCTGGGATTCATGCCGAGAGAGGAGATTTTCTGTCTTGATGAGCTCCCCTCGCCTTGACACCTCACTTTCGTTCCCTGAGTACTACAAAGGTGCTCGGGCGGTGCAGATGCGAAGACGTTCTGCACGACTATGCAAAAGTGAAGTGCTTTCATCGACGAGTGTTATGGCTGTGGATCTGCAAAGTCGCACGCTGAGTGTTCCAGGTGATGCGGCAAACTCCTGACGTGATTTCGCCTGCTGTAGGCCACGCTGTTGATTTATGTAGTCGTACTGTACCCTGCAGTGCTCATCGCTTATACAGTTTAGCGATCTTGTGCTGTAGTTGACGTGCTTGGCCCTATCGGGGCGGCGTTAACTGTGCATTGCTTGGAGTCTCGACTCGAGTGCACATTTTCATGAACTGGCAAACGTCAGTTTCATACTCAACCATTGTAAATGACTGTGGTTCCTTTTTATGTGGCCAACTGCTGCTGTCAACGTGACGGCCGGACTAAGTCTGTACGCAGGGCACGCAGGACATGGACGCATGTTCGCGAAGTGGAAGTGGAAGTGGAAGTATTAATAGTATTGAAAGTATTAAGAGTCTTAATAGTCGTATGAATAGTATTAATAGTATTAATAGTATTAATAGGATTAATAGTATTAATAAGTATTAGATAGTAGTAAGTGTAATATTAGGAAGTGTAGCTTTAGTAGTATTAGTCGTCAGTAATAGCAGTACTAGTATTAGTAGTACGAGCAAGGTTCGAAAATCGGTGTTTGAACCCTGGGTTCAAACACCGGTGTTTGAACTCTGAGTTCAACTTCCCTTCCAAATGTTTGAACTCAGGGTTCTACTCGAGTTCCAATGCTATGTTAGAGCCCCCCCCAGGTGTTCGAACTCAGGGTTCGAACACCCTGCAAAAACCTATGCTCTTCGAAGACGATGTTCTTATCAGATTTGTGTAACTGCACAAAAGGCACAGAGTGAAAGAATCGCTTGATACACCCGGTAGAACCGTAGCACCGTTGCAAGCACACCACTTGCGACAACATGAACTCATCGATTTAGAAGCCCTCATTGTGTCAAAGCAAAAAGACATGGAGCAAACAAGAAGCAATTGGATTGTCAACCGTCAGCCTGCAGGCAGATTATTTTTCACTCCACAGACCCAGTCTGTTGCCTGCGGAAGGATGTTGCAAGCTAACGACTTTTGGCCACGTGCCTTTCCTGTTTGGCTGTGAGATTGTCGCACTGAGGGCTCGCAAACTGCGCATGCTTGTTTTGGTTGAGGGGACCCATTCGCCGGCCCGTGTACTTCCCCCTACGCTTCTTTCGCTTGGAGTGGTACAAGTTAAAGGACTTTTGAGCCAAAGTTATGCACGCACTCAGGGCCATTGCGCTATGAGCCTTCAAACAACCTAGAGCACAAATGAACTGAGTTCCAAGACGCATTGTTTGATGACGCATCGTGGTATGATGGTTTGGTGATACCCAGTATGCACAGTGCACAACCGCAGAGACATGGATTTTGTTTGACAGCGGACCTCTGTCAGGCAAGACATTTGCCCTCGTTGGAAAGCGTGCTGTCGAGTGTTGATTGTGGTGATCATTCTCTTTGTCTTCATTAAACTTCGAGATTTTCGTTTGTTTCAATGACCCAAGAAAAACTAAAGGCTTGGGGACCCATGGAATTTGTCTTCAGCCGAAAAGAGACACCTCCAGTACTAAAGTTTGCATAAAATAAAGAATTTGATTTGGGGTGCTCGGGAGGGAAGTAGTCCCCTACCCCCTTCCCCCTAACCCCCTTAAGGGTCCCTATGATCAGTTCTCTGCCCAGCAGCAGCACGCCACGCAGATCATCAGCGACCTCCCGTTTGAGACAGGGTTGCAGTTAAGAGTTTAGGGGTTTAGGTACATAGAGTCAAGTGCATAGTCCACAAAGTGAAAATGTACTTGACTCCACGACTGTATGTACCTGTGTACTTGACTGATGTACTTGACTCTATGCATTGGGCTGGACTAGACTAATATGACTCTATGTACATGCATACTTGACATTGGTTCACCAATACTAAACCAATAAGCCTCGAGATTTTCGCTTGTTTCAATCATCCAAGAAAAACTTGAGGTTTGGGGACCGTTGAACCGGAAATTTCACCTCAGCCCAAGAGATACCTCCAGTAGTAAAGTTTGTATACAAAAATCGATTTTGGATCCAACCTGGGGGAGACTATGCATGTATGCATTGGACTATTTGACTCTATGTACTTGACTCTATGCGCTAGACTATGCACTTGACTCTATGCACTTCACTGTATGCAGTTGGCTTCATGTACTTGAGTTTATGCACTGATTCGAGAGCTCTGACAACATGGAGTGAAGTACGTAGAGTGAAGTACATAGAGTGAAATACATAAAGTCAAGTACATCGATCTCGGCACTATTATGTATTTGTAGCGCAACACTCTTCGCTAATGATGCTTTCGGGCCAATTGTTTTCTGGTTTTGATATTTGGGCACACACGGAAGCTATCATCAATGTTTACTTGAAGCGTAGAGAAGATGTTTCATTTCCGATTTTAAATTTTTTCTGCTTTTGGGCCCTTTACAGTGTTTTCGTGTGGCTCTGTTCTTGTGATGTGTGGTTTTCACAAATTCACGAGTTAAGAAAGCGGGAGAATGTGTTTGAAGCCTTCTTGTTTGTTGGAGAAGACGTTCATTCCTGATTCTGAACCTTGATTCGCGTTTAATCCCACCAACGCGTTTTCGTGTGGTTTCTCCTTCTGACGTGTGGTTTTCGCGGCTTAAGAGAGCGGGGTGGGGGGGTGGGGGGCACCAGATTTTTACTTCATTGTTTTAAACCACCCTGAAGCGTTTTATAGCGTTTTTTTTGTGGCTCTCTCCTTCTCACGTGGAAAAAGCGTTTTTCAGAGGTTTTCGCGGCTTCAGAGATCGAAGGGGTTGAAGGCGGCCGGCTCGGAGGGGGGGGGCCAACAACCTGAGCCTAAGGTTGTAGGTTCGGGTTAACCCCAGTCTTGCCTGAGGTGAACACCAACCCTAACCGTTGCGTCCGGCTTTGGGTTTGGGTTAACCCCAATCCCAACCCGGGAACGCCAGGTCAGGGTTCGGGTTAACCCCAACCCCAACCCCGAGTTGGGGTTGGGGTTGACCCGACCCCCACCATCGACGCCAGGGTTCGTGTTGGGGTTACCCGACCCCCAACCTCAAGTTCAGACTTGGGGTTGGAGTTTAACCCGAACCCTAACCTCGTTGGAACCCCCCCTTTGGACCCGGTGTCGGGGTTACAACCTGGGTTCAACCCCAACCCTCACACCACCCTTCCGGGGTATGCTCGGCCACCTCGAGTTTCGCACGACATTCACGTGTGTGCAAGCCAACTGGCTTGATCATGTCTGTGCAAACCAGCTTACAAAGCTCCGGAGTCTCTGTGGTGTTTGGCCTCAGCTTGAGAGTCTTTGGCAGTGCATTCCCATACGCATCTGACTCGTGCAATTACTGTGGAGGATCCTTGTCCGCGGCAATGTTTTTGAGCAGTGTTTTCCCCACTGGCTTGATTTGGCTGGTTGTCACCACGCTGATCAACATTTCAGAAGCGTCGACACCTAAGACGCATGCAAAAACCAAAAGCTAAGTTTTGCAACGGATGCAATTCCTTTTGTGGAACATAGGAAAGTACAGCAAAGAGAGTTGACAAGGACAACACACTGGAATCAAATCTCCTGCAGGCAATGTTGTTTCGGACTGGATCCGGCGTGCAAGCGATTCGCTCTTAGGGGGCATGAAACCGCTGCGAACTTGCTTTGTGGAGAGCTGGGCTTCCCACACCGAGGGCAGAAAGCCACATGCAGCCAGGCAATCGCTCACCTGTGCTTCCAAGCTCTGGAATGAACTCAGCGACAGTCAGACTTCCGGTCTACTGAAGTTTCAACTGCTAGGTCCCGCCGAAGGCGGGGAGGGTAAGACGGGTAGGATTTCCAACGATATGGGAGCAGTCCCACAGCCCAGTTGGCTTGGTGTGTCGAGTTATGCCGCGCAAAGAACAAGCACTTGTTCTGCGACCCGTCAATAACTCCATCCATCGTTTTTTCTTCATTTTTGAAATCTCTCTCTGTCTCTCTTTGTCTCTGTCGCTCTTTCTCCTTCTCGAGTAGAGAACCGAATGATGGTGTTTTGAACTTGCACTTTGTGATTGCGGGAAATTTTTTGACGAAAACGTACAGCCGGTCTTGTCAAAGATAAAACTACATGTGTTTGCACATGCTCACGTGCTCGTCTGCCCCAAATCGTGACAGCAACACAACTGACCGTGAATGTTGTTGTTGCTGTTGCTGTTGCTGTTGCTGTTGCTGCTGTTGTTGTTGTTGTTGTTGTTGTTGTTGTTGTTGTTGTTGTTGTTGTTGTTGTTGTTGTTGTTGTTGTTGTTGTTGTTGTTGTTGTTGTTGTTGTTGTTGTTGTTGTTGTTGTGTTGTCGTTGTCGTTGTCGTTGTCGTTGTCGTTGTTGTTGTTGTTGTTGTTGTTGTGTTGTTGATGTGTGTTGTTGTTGACAGTGTTGTAGATTTTTGCTTGTTCACAGTTGTATATCATGAGCCAAGTGTTGATTTTTAACACGATTGCTTGTATTTTTCGGCAACCATATGCATTCAATCTTTTGCATCGCAGCATGTTTCATGCCGTTATGATATTGCACCAGTGCAGTGTTCGCGTGTGTGATTATACAGCTTGATGTTACCGCGGTTGTTTGGCCGAAGAAGTTCATTATCAAGTGCTGGCATGCCGTTTCCTGTCATGTTTCAGCAACTTCAGCAAGTTTGCAACGAAGGCATCAGAGCGCAGCACCTTGATACACGACAAGATTCCGTCATCGCAACCGTCGTTTGCAAGTGCGCCAAAGCCACTGAATGCTCGCATGGGGATGTGATGGCCTCGGCTGCGCTAGCAGGCTTGCATTTGCATGAGTAATTTCAGAATGTGTCGGTTGCATGAAGCGAGTCGCCTTCGAGATACCGGATACCTAGAGGCTGACGTCGGATATATAGATGCTGATTGCCATTCCCGGCGATATTGAGCTGATAGATTCCTGTAGCGACCAGAAGCAGGATGTGCGATGCACTGATGTGAAATTGCACATTGCTCTGCAGTCCCGGATGCACGGCCAAGCAGTGCAGCCAGGTGCGAAGTCGTGGTGTGATATTGTCGGGTTCTGCCACTTTGCTTGTTGCATGTGCTGGCAGGACTGGCATGCCTCGTTTGGGGCGACTTCATAGTGCCGCCTCACCGGGCCGGGCACGATCTGCCAGTGCTGCACGACAGGGGGCAAGGCCTCAAAGTGCCGCCCGTGGGTCCACCTGGCCTGTGGCTTCGCATGGCCGGTGATCTCTACACAGCTGTGACGCATAATAATCATAATAGGTCGTCTCGCACCGGAGCAGCTGCAGCCGCCGCAGTGAAGACGTTGTTTTCCAGCCACGTTTGATGTTGTGCAGTTGGGCTTGACACGACGAAAGCGCAATGTGCGCAATGTTCAGCAGTGCAAGCGAAGAAAGGTATCCAATTCCGGGTGATGTTGGTTATTATCAGCGTCGGCAGCTGAGTGGGCAACATCAGGTTGATGTGCAGTGCTTTGCATGTTGTACCCACAGGTGCTGATGTCAAGGGCAGAGTCAAAAAGCCAAAACTGGACAAAGACATGGCCAAGCTCAAGGTCTTGTGTCTGTTTTCTGCCGGAAACGCCGTGGACTCGCAAGTTACCGCATGGTTTTTTATCGATTCCGAATGGCAGGACCTCTTCGCATTTTGCGAGGATGCAAATTTTCGAGAGGTGCCGGTTCCAGTTGTTGCCCAATTTGTAGCGGGCCTTGTGCATGTTCCTCCTGAGAGAGGAATTACTGAAATGTTTTACACGACATGTTTACCTTTCTCGAGGTGTCTTTGATGAGATGTGAAGTTTTGACAGGTGCGGGCCATGGTTTCTCACTATCCATATCTGTTGGGCTTGACCGATGCGCACGGGTTCTCGGCGAGGGTCTCAGGTCTTAAACCCTGTGTATGAATCTCGCTGGGTAAGCGGAAGCGTTGACATGAGGCATTACACCATTCAGTCATGTCCGGGGAGCCCTCCTTCATCGCGAAGGCAGCATAGCTTGGAGCATTTGTCGCAGTACTGTCCGGCAATGTCGCGCCTGTGCAAAAGTTCATGTAAATAGTTTTTGCCTCGGTTGCAACGCTTCTGTGCGTGCAGGTGTTGCAGTTGTACCGAGATCCGAAGACGTTCTCCATAAAGAATCTTGTGTACGACACCGAGGAGGCGTCGCGGTCACCTCGAGCATCAAATAGCATGCGAGCAAATATCTTGATCGCGTTGCAGGAAATGGTGCGAGACGTAGAGATGGGAGTTGAGGTACGCAGCCGGCGACTGTTTTTGTGATGTTGGGTTCAGCGAAACCGTTGCAGGTTGTTGGCAGAAAGTCCGAGAGTCACGTCGAGGCCGCGGGACGCGGGAGGGCTCTTCGGGTTATAAAGAGGGCATGAGCATCGATGCTCATCGAAAGGCCACAGTGGTGACGATTGGAAGGGGAAGCAAAGCAGAAGAGGCCGGCCTGATGCCTGGCGACCGACTCGAGGCTCAAGCCCCGGACTTTATCAGAAGTGTTAGTCTGTCAGTTCACTTCTTTCCTAGTCCAACCGTCCGAAGAACGGGACAGTGCATGCTGGACAGTTTGAACATGAGACAGTACGTGCGGCTTGTCGAAGCGAGCAGGTTGCGTTGTTTGATATTTATGGGCACGTGCGGCTGCGACGGCACCTGCATGTGCAACCAGTTTTTTTTGCTGCCGTCGTGAAGGAATGCCTCTTAATGGAAGAACATGCTTGCAGCCTTTTGTTGTTGCGTTTTCGGTTGAAGGACTCTTAGAGCCAGGTGCAAAATGGCCTATGTCTGCTTGCGACCGCTTTGCGTACCAATGTAGCACTGCAGCTAGAACTTAGAACCAGGTCGCACCCTTTCATCAGCAATACTGATGCATACACAGCCTTCAGCATCCCTGGCCTTCCCCTGCAGAAACAGCATGCCTCAGCGTACACCCAGTGCCAACAAATCGGTTCTAGGATTCTAGATGCAATGAAGAAGACTCAACCATGCAGTGCACGACCGCGAGGGCACATTGCCAAGGTAGTCGCAGTGGAAGGTTTTGCCTGCGTTGTCCCGTTTGTGTCAACCGGCTTTTGCCCTTCGTTGACCTCGAAGGCTTGCAGCGGGACCGGCTTCCTTAGTTATCGGCAACCGCCACCACTGTCGACAGATATTCTGGAAGCGCTGAGGAGCTGTGGTGGCTTTTGTTCGTCACTCCCTTTCAGCATTTTTGTATCAGGAGCAAGAATATCTCCACCAGTTTCGGGTTTCCTGTGACTCTGGAGTTCAGAGGGCACCTCGCCTCAGCTTATCATGGTTTTATCGGCAAGTCTTGCACATCAAGAGCTTAAGCTTGTCACCATTGATATCTGCCTTCAAGCAAGCTGCCCGGCACTGCTTTTGCGCATGTCCTCCTCAGGGGTTAGTCGATATTTCCATGGACAGCCGAGGAATGCTGCCGTTGAGATTCTAGCTAAAGATGGCTGGGCTCCAACTCATGGTGCGGCAGGCCCTTCAGTGTCGCTGTAATAGACAGTGGTCCGAGCCACTCAGAAGCAGGCAGAGGCGCACACGGAGACAAGCAGATTTTATGGCAGCTCCTGAACGAGGAGGACCGGGTCCGGGCAAGTCACATCTCATCGGAGAATCCTTTCTCTGGAAGGACAAAGCCAGCCTGGTGCAAGACATGACGGGATGTACACCCGGACACTGGCCGGGACCACAGCACAGAGCTGCATACCATGTCTGGTGCACAGTGTCTGCATGTCACTTGCAGGGCTCAAATCGAGAAGCAGATGAGGCAGTTTGGTTCTCAGTTCGGTCGGCTCTTCAGCGAACGTGTTGATACGTCCATCAGGCATGTCTGGACGTGTCGTGTCGTTGCGACCTAGTAACACCCGCAGATGCTGCGGAGCCGCCTTTACACAAGCATCGGCAATACAGGAGAATGTGAATTTTTCATGTTTGGACCTGAGGTAATGGAACAGAGGTTCTGACAGCTGACAAGCCAACGTAGCCGCGCGACGTATGAACAGATTGCGACAGAAAGTTATCTCAGAGCTTTGTCCGATTGAGCTCAAGCTATCCGCCACAGTTACACGCGTGAAGGGACGTCCACATGCAGCCAGGGTCAAAGTCGAAGGCGGATTCAAGGCTGTTCGTCAGAACCACTCCGCTATCAGATCCACAGTTCACTGTGGTTGGTGGCCGCTGCGTTCTGAATCTTGGCTGCACTGAGGCGGGCCAATCGTCGTCCTTTGAGCGCCGGGCCTTGCGGGTGTGGCTGGAAACGCCGCCCAGCAAAGAAGGCCGGGGCTCAGGGCAGAATCAGTACCATTATCGGCATGGCGTGTCTGAATGTGTGCAATAAGGCGTCTGGAGCAACGGATCCATGAGCGTTGTGGAGATTTCTAATATATGTACATATATACACAAACACACACTCACATGTACGTGTACATGTACAAGTGCATATGCACATACGTATACGTATACATACACACACATACACATATACACATACTCGTACATATACATGTTCATGTACATGTACATAGTAAATGTACAATGTACATGTACATAACATGTGCACATATACATACATATACATATACATCTGTCATACATATACATGTATATGTATGCTCGCCCCCTTGGCAATATCTTTGCTTTCGTGGTTCTTGGGCCATGTATACATATATGTATGTGTATATATATTACCCTCAGTGCGATGTAACGTAGCAGCGCGGAGTGAAGATGCAAGCGCCTTTCTCAGTGGCGAACCCGAGATGCTTTTGGGCTCGAGCTCCCAGCTCGAGCCATGCCGGGGCCATGGATTTCGGCCTCCAGCGATGCGGAGGCTTGGGCTTCCGCCGTTTTGAAGGCCGGCGACTACCTGGAGTTCGCGGCCTATGACACGAGCCACACCAAGCAAGGAACGGTGGTGGCTCGTGTGGACAATGTGGCCGAAAAAGGCCAAAACGGTCAGTGGACCGAAGTCTCCTTCCTGGCGGTCTCCGACGAGCACTTGGAGTGGTGGTTGGAGACAGGCCCTGGGAAGGATGACAACTGGCAGTTCGAGCTGCACGTGTGCAAGCAGACTGCCAGGAGCTGCCGGATGACAAAGCGGGGCCGGTCTCATGACTTTCACACCGACCGCTACCGGATGCTCACCCTTGGCGACTTGGCGGACCGGAAGCCAGACTGGATCCGCAAGAGCAAGTCGAAGAAGTATGTGGAGGAAGAGGTGCAGCGACTACAAGCACCACCTGGAGGCGGCCATGGCCGAGGATCAGGCGAACCCGGCCCTGGGCTTGAGTTCAAGGAGGGCGCCCTTCCGCCACCAGAGGGCTCACAGGACGACTCCGCGCTGAAGGGCTTGGCCGACTTGGAGAAAGAGATCGGTACGCCGAGGAAAACCAGGAAGAAGCGGGCGCCGACCGCCCCTCACGAGGGAGCAGAAGGACCCCTCACGAGGGAGCAAGAGAAAGAGCGCCGCAGAAAGAAGAAGAGAAGGAAAAGTGATCCCGGCCATGGCCGTGCAAGATCGCAGCCAGCCCGTGGCAGCACCAAGAATGAGTGGTTCGGGGAGCCAGTGCGCGATAGCCCCCAGGATCGCTCATATACGGATACGTCCGAGAGATCCTCCACCGACTCCGCCGAGGACAAGGCCCGCAAGAAGAAGAAGAAGAAGTCCAAGAAGAGGGAAAAGGGCCGATCTGCTAAGGATCGCGGCCCTTTTGGCTCCGGGCACCAGGTCCACTACGGCAAGGCCATGGAGATCTCGAGTGGATCCTCAGGCGAGGACCAGCTTTTTCGGGACGGCCCTCCTTCCGGGAATGGAACCAGCCTCCAGCTTCAGCTTCAGGAGTACGCACTGAAGAAGCCAGGGAGGTTGGCCGCCAGGTTGCTGCAGCGCATGCAGAGCATGGTGGGGAAGGAAGGGGGCCGATCTCTCAGGTGACCTACCAAAACAAGACACCTCCGCTGGCCATGAACTTCGTCCTGACGATCTTGGGGCCAAAGCAGCTTCCGGTGAGGACGCTGCGCGAGATGAAGACGCTGGCGGCGGCTCTCGACCAGATCGCAGCAGGTCAGTCCCACTCCGCGGCCGATCTGCTAGCGCAGCGCATGAAAGCGCTGGAACTGAGCCAGAGCGACACGACTTGGAACAGGGCTCAGTTCATAGAGCTGCTGGAGCCGGAGGGACCCTCCCTGTTGGAACGGGAGGAAGCGGTCCTAGCTTCCAAAGAGTGGGCCAGCGAACTGAGAATGCGGAAGCTCCAGACCGGCAAGGGGCAAGGAAAGACCGAGGGCAAGGCCGAGAAGGGAAACCCGAAGGGGGGCGACGGGAAGCCCGACAAGGGTCACGGAAAAGGTCGCGGGGGCCGGGGCAAGAAGGAGCACCAGCGGCCTGGAACAACCTCCGACCGTAAAAGAGGAGGCCCCCGACTTCGGCGACACCACCCCCGATGAGCACGAGCCGGCCAGCTCGAGTGGTGCCCCCAAGCCGGAAGCAGACGAAGGTGAGACCAGAGCAGCCGGCCACGGCCGAGTCTTTTCCAACTTAGAGGAGAAGGACTACAACGACATGGTCCGCGGCGGGGGGAGCTTGGCGAAAGTGACGACGAAGGTCTCCCTAAGGGGAAGGGGGACTCGGAGTATGCTGCCAGCCTGCTGGAAGGCCTTGCCATGAAAGATTGGCGCAAGAGGATGGCTTCAGTGTTGGACCGCCGCCCGGGCCTGAAGCCCTTGGGAAAGGTTTTCATGGAGGCTATGCTGTCCTTGAAGTCCGGCTTTGGTGCTTTTGTCAGGAGGCATGCAAACCCGGAGAAGCTGTCCCCGGGCGCCGAGCCCACCTCTCAAACCAAAGGCCGGGCTCACAGGACCAAGGACGTGCTCCCGATCCACCCAGCCATGGTGACAGTGGGCCTGAAGGGGGTCACCGAGGCCAATGTTCACTGGATCCGCGCCATGGTGACGGCGCTGGACTTCCTGTACTGCGCCGGCTGGTCAGAGCCGGTGTGCGTTCCGATGACCCGGTCCCTCAGCCTATGTCAGCTCCGGGTAATCACGAGGCTCGCGGGCCAAGTTGACAGGCTACTGAAGCTCGACAGCAAGATGGGCACGACCAAGGAGGCCGTTGCGAAACTCTTCCAAGAGGTTCGACAACAACGGCCAGCCCGTGGACCATATGATGGACCTCGACTCTGAGAAGGTCATTCGGGCTTGGCCGAAGCCCGGATCAGCCGCAGTGGTCGACCTCCGCGACTGCCTTCCGGAGGACTTCAAGGTTGCCTTGGAGAACCCCGAAAAGTACCTGCTTCCCGAAACGGAGCTCCCCGAGCGACACCGTGGTTCGAGGGTGAGAGCTACCGACGAAGAGTGGTACAAAGTGGTAAAGGCCGGGCACGCCCGAGGTATGTTTGTGGCGGTGTCCGACGAGGACATTCCAGTCGACAGAAGAGGCCACCTCATCACCAATGGGGCGGGGGCCGCGACTCGGAGGACCTCGATCCAGAGCGCCTTCAACCTCTTCCGGTTGCCGTTGTCGTGGGCGCCTCTCTTTAGCTTCGCTGAAAAGGTCAGAGGTGATGCCCTGGGGTTGTCGCCCCATGTGACCGCCAGGCCGGCGCTGAGGGTGGTGCCGATGGGATGGACATCGGCGGTGACGCTTATCCAGGCGGCGATCCGCCACATCTCCTACACCATTGCCAAGGTTCCTCCCTACGGGGATGCGCGAAAGGACCGGCCTCTACCCGACACCGAGGGGCACACGGTCCTCTACCTGGACAACTTCGATGAGATCCGCTACCTAAAGCAGGAGGTGGCGGAGAGAGAAGCCGGCACACCGTCGGAGAAGCATCGCAGGTTCATTTCGGCATGCGAAGAATTGGGCCTCCCACGCAACCTTGGAAAGCAACTGTCGGGAGCCCTGACAGGAACCCTCCTTGGAGGAGAGCTTCTGGGAAAGGAGAAAATTCTCAGGAGCTGATTGAGCTCAGCCTGGGCATCGTCACCCAGGAGTTCATGTCGGAGTTTTGCCTCAGGCACTGGAGTGGGAAAGCCGCTTTCGCGGCTGCCTTCCGCAGGCCCCTGTACGCTATCCTTCAGGAAGTTTACGGTGTCATGGACTACGCCAAGGAGGGAACCCAGGTGGCCCTGCCGATCGCGGCGATTGACGAGATCCTGGTTTACACCATCTTGCTCCCCTTGGCTGAGACCGACCTCTCCTCGGAGATCTCAGGAACCATAAGCTGCACAGATGCTTCGCCCACGGGCGGGGGGGCATCAATCGCGACTACCTTCAAGGACAAGTCGTTGCTGCTACCGGTGCCCCTCCAGGATGACAACAAGTGCGGGGCCTGCGGAAGTGAACTGGAGGAGCCGACCAGGAGGACCTACCCTTGTCCCCGCAAGTGTGGCTTGCGGATGTGCACCTTGAAGTGCAGCCGGGGACATGGAGAACAGTGTTGCTGCAAATGGTGGCACGTCCCGAAGTTTGGTGAAAGGTTCGCGGGTGAAGGGTTCCCTCTCACCAAGGCCGCGGGGCTCAAAGGCATCGCCACGCAGCACCCGCTCGACATAGCGGTCCCCGACGACACATGGGACTTCCGCTCGGAAGAGGGAAAGGCTCGGCTGGATGAGTATGAGGGAGATGGCGACCTCATGTGGAGCCACTGGAGCCCAGATCGGCGAACCTTCCTGGACTGCAGCGGGGACTACCGAAACCGCTGGGGGCAATGGGTCAGAGGAGAGCGGCGACTGCGCAACCGAAACAACCCGGAGGGACTTCCGAACCTTCGGCGGGATGAAGCCGTTGCCGCGCGCCAGGGCAATGCAATGGCGAAGCGTGCCATCCGAGGCCTCCTAGAGGCTGGCACCCTTAGGAGTGCGATGGGAACCACGCGAGAACTCCTCACGAGGAAGACTTGGAAAACAGCCGGGAGTATCCCTGGGCCCCTGGGAGCTGTGCCTGGTGTTCATGGAGGGGGTCCATGATGAGCTGGCGGGGGTCTATTCGGAGCCCTTTGGAGCGAAGCAAGTGACCCGGGACTCCTTGATGCATCACCAGCTGAAAGGGGCCACACGTGGCCTGCAGGACCTGTCGGCGGTCGAGTGGGCCGTGTCACAGACCGTCAAGTTCCTGGAGACCATGGACACCAACCAAGAGGGCCAACACCTTCGTTGGCTTCTGCGGCACGCCTACCATACCGGCTGCGACGTTCGCCTTACAGATCGGGGCGAGGACGTGGTGGGCCACCGCCCGGGGCCCTATCCAGCGTTCCGCTGGCTATGGAAGGACATT